GGGGGATAAGGGTGGGGGAGGTGCGATGAGGATGAAGACTAAGAAGGGACAGGGCTTGAGGTTGTTGGTTGGGTTGGTTGGTTGAGATGGGATGGGATGAAGTTCATGGCGGCGGGTAATGAGGGCGTTGATGGAGGTCCCTTGAAGTTGGATGTGGACGTGGACGTACCATTGTGGCGGTGGTGTGGATAATTTGTGCTTTGGTTGGGGATAGTCAATGATTGCTTTGCTGGTGTAGGTCGTCAAGCGAGAGAAGAGGGGGAGATGGATGGGATAGAAAAGTGAGAGTAGATGGATGATGGTTCAAGTCGGAGTGATTAGAAGGTAATGTAGGTAAGGTCAAGTAACGTTAGCTCTGACATCGATAGTAGCAGCGTAGGCTCCCTCCCGACTGGCGCGTCCGGCTCTGCCACCACAAGCTCCTCCGGCCGACCACACCGCCCCAACCCGCAAAAAACTCTCTGCTGCGTGCCATTCTCCATCCCCCGGCCCCAAGTCACGTGGCGCCATATTTCCCGTTGAAGGAAATTCGAACGTCTCGTACCTTGAGACTGGGAGTCCGGCTTGGATAGCATCACTCACAAACCACCTCCGCCAAAATGCCCGCCCTCATCTCCTCCCTCGCCCTGCGCACCCTCCGGACGCTCGTCCAGCGTCCCGCCACCACCACCACCCCCATCCGTTCCATCAAGACCGCTGCCACTGCTGCTGCTGCTGTCCCCCGATTCACCCCCGTCCTCCGCACGCCCACCGCTCTCGCAGCCCTCACCACCAGAACCCCCGCTTCACAAATCGCCCTCGCCGCGGCGGCGCGCCGCTCCTTCTCCACCTCCCCCTCCAGGTCCGCGACCTACAACCAAGTCCGCCGCGGCTGCCGCGTGGCGCAGAAGGCCCGGCGCTCGCGGTCGCCCGCCGTGACCGGCCGCGCCCAGATGAAGGGCGTCTGCCTCAAGACCGGTATCACGAAGCCCAAGAAGCCCAACTCCGGGGAGCGGAAGACGGCCCGTGTGCGGCTGAGCAGCGGCAAGGTCGTCACGGCTTACATTCCTGGTGAAGGTGGGTTCTACGTTGTTCCCTTCTCTGGTTTTTGGGGATGTGATATATCTCTTGGTTGTGCATGCTCTGGGAGATGAGCGGGCTTATATGAGGTATTGGTTATTAGCGACATGGCTGACAAGTCTCTTTTCCTCGATCCAGGTCACAATATCCAGCAGCACAGTGTCGTCATGGTCAGAGGTGGCAGAGCCCCCGATTGTCCCGGTGTGAAGTACCACTTGGTTCGCGGGGCTATGGATTTGGTATGTTGCTCTCTCCTCTGGAACAGGGTTGAGCGCTGTTCACTAATGGTGGCTGCTACAGGGTGGTGTTCCCAATCGCTTGACGGCCAGATCTAAGTATGGTACGAAGAAGCCCAAGACGGACTAAACGTCCGCAAGATGCGTGCATCGGGGAATTATGTTTGAGTCTAGCTGGATGATATGTTGATTCCCTGCAGGGGGGCTCTATCCTTGTACTATTTTGGTTGCTTTCTTTTTGTTTTCGTTTTCATCTTCAAAGGCATTCGGTTCATCGTTAAAACAGCTATGTACATTTATGAGACAGTCTCTGGAAAAGATAACACTTTCCATCTTATCAGATATCCACTTGAAAATCGGGATGCTCGCCGCAAAATGACACGGGACGAAAAAAAATTGAAGGAGAAATAACCACCGCCTCCATGACAATACATGTGAGACCGATAACACCGAGGCTCGAACACTCCAAGACACGGGGGGGAATATGAAAGTAGGGGTTGAAGGGGTGAAAATTGCGAAATAATCATGTTTGGGTCAGTCGGAAACGCCCCAATACTGTACTGTAGAACCGTAATGTTTTAGGCCTTCCTCCATGGCTGAATGGACTCCCAGCCAGCGTGTACGTGGTCAACCAGATGACCTGCTCTGTTGACCACTAGTACCCGGGATTTTCTGTTGAGTAGGACTAAAATACCGCAGATGAAGGTTGCCGAAATCAAAATTAATCCAATCATGCGGAGTCAGGTTTGGGCCTCATAGCCCTTGGGCTTGTCCAGGTTGTTGATCTGGAAGTACCGAGATGTGCCTACGAGCAATGGTAAGTAACCCGGCACCTACCCGGTGAGATAGTCAAACTTACAAGAGTAACCCTTCCAATCAAAGTTCTCGCTAGGGTTGCAGGAGCATCTCAGGTCCAGTCTCTTCTTCTCCTCGGTTGGACAGTGGGTGAATGGCACGTGATAGTAGCCGATCTCATCAAAGAAATGAATCTGCTCCTTGTCGAGAAGCAGGCCGGCGGCAATGGAGTGGACCGGGGCATCACCCCAACGCTCGTAGAAGAAACCACCGGCATGGTCCAGGGTCTCAAAGTAATCGATGTACGCCTTCGATCTCAGCCATTCCAGGCTTCCGACTTCGAAGTTAGACCACTATAGATCGAGTTAGCCACACCCTTGATAGTGATTCCGAAAGATATACATACGAAGTGGCATTTGTTGTAAGTCTTGCCGCCATCGTCACTCAAGAAGCCCATAGAGTTGTCGCTCGAGATGTGTTCCGGGTGTTCGCCGACGAATTTCTGCGTGGTGTCCCAGAGGGTCGGGATCGTGTCATAGTATTCGTAGAGACTGAGCGTGAAGCTGTACTTCTTGTTGTTCTCCTTCATGAAACGGAACGGATCCAGCGGGACGTCACAGTAGAGCTCGATGCTGGGCTCCACACGCCAGTAGTATTCGTAGTTCAGCATCAGCGGGTGGCGGAAGAAGAAGCCCGATTCGTAGCGGCACATGTGGCGGTAGCTTTCCGAATCGCCGTAGATGATCTTCTTCTCGCCCATCTCCTGCCGCACCTTCTTCGCTTTCTCCTGATCGATCCATTCGGGGTACGACCAATGCTCCTTGGGAATCACGCCATAATGGGTTTCTCCGGAGACGAGCGCCGAGGTGATCTTGATGAACTCATCGTCAAAGGGCTTGTCGTTCAGGAACACCCAATCGTAGTGATAGTTGCGGTTGAACCGGTCCTCCACCGTGCGGATCGACTTGACCATCTCCCAAAGGTCGCTGTTCCGGGCCAAGGTGACAAAGGTTGCGTTCATGCGGTCGGCCGCGGGGATGACCTTGTTGGATGAGTATGCGGCGGCGGCATCGCTCTGGGAGTACGAAGAGGACGAGGACGAGGAGGATCCATAGTTGAGTTTCGATCCGATCTGCTCCGGAATCGGGATTGCGCTTCTCGATATCAGGAAGAAAAGTGCCAGTCCCTAGGCGCATCGGGTCAGCCATGAAAGGAGATTGGGAGAAAACCAAAAAGAACTGACTGTGACAGCAAACAGGAGATATCGGACTGGCCCTAGAGCCATGATCACCGAGGTTTCTGTGCTTTCAAAATCTCAAGTCTGTTGATGTGGCTAGACTGGCGCAGAGCGGAGTGAATGTGGTAAATATGGAGGCCTTTCGCACGGGACCGCTTGACCTGGAGAATTGGGGGATAAAGAGGGAAAAGCGAGCGACAAGATGAAGTGAAGAAGAGGGAAAAGAAAAGAGCTGGAGACCTGAGATCCCACGGTAAGATCTCAACTACGCAGTGGACGAAGTGGACGGTGTGGAAGGAAGACTAGGCGCCGGAATTGCCAGAAAGTCTCGAGATGATCGGCGACAAGCACGGAGATGAACAGGGTGCGGTGGTGTAATTATTATGGGGCAACGGTCTCGATCTCTCACCAGTGTTTGTATGAGTCTTTCCCGAACCGCGGATTTGTTGCGACCGGGTAAAACATAAACAAGGGGGAGGGGGAAATAGAAGGAGGAGGGGCTGATAAGAAACAGAAAAAATCAAATAAATAAAGGGATCAAAGGGGAATTATAGTAATCTTAATTCAGGAGAGGAGAGGAAACTGTCTGTTCGCTACGGAGAGTAAAAGCGGACGAACAAGGTCAGCCCTGCGGCGGAGCATGAACTGAATCACTAGGAATGAATGGATGAATGAATGAATGGGAATTCTCATACTCCGTAGTCAATGGGAGGCGACGTAACCTCCCCAATGGTTATTGGCCAGGCCACGTACGTTGTTCGGGAGTTGGCCACCCACTCCTCAAGCCTGTTTCTGTTCTCTTTTGACTACCTAGTATTAATTATTAACTATTGCATCTTTGTTGTTAGAATTAGACTCGGGGATCGTGCTCGAGTCTATCATATTGACTGCAGCCGCAAGATCTATCTCTCCACTGATGTATAGAAACGTCCCTGTAAATCTTAGGAAATTGCCCCCAAAGCTTCGTATAGCCCGTGTCATTTGTGGTAGAAGTACTCCGTAGCTGTGGCTGTGTTGACAACGATTTGCCGGAAGGGTGTTACCACTCAGTACTCCGTAATTCAGTTACAATCATTTCGTGTTGTTGGGCGGGTGGCCGCCAGGTGGTGGCGTGGCTGCAGTGCACCTTATTTCTGCAGAACTTGACCGCCTCACAGACGTTGTGCCTCAGGCACTCAGACTAACACAGCTAAGCCTAAACCCACCTAGTCAGGCGGGTGATATCAGACCGGCTCTGAACCTCATCCCGCACCACAATTATGCCGTGGTAATTCCTCCTCCCCCCTCCCCACGCCACCAGCCCCCCCCTGTTCCCCATCCAAGCTGCCTCTGCCGAAGATGTCTTTCTTCGGCTTTGACACCACCCTGCCCAGGGACCGGGCTGCTCCTTCCGAGCGCCGGGGTATTTTCGAGACGCCTGATCCATTCGCCGAGGTCGCTCGCGCCCGTCTTGTTCAAGGATTCCGAGGCGGCGACGAGGATGACGATGCGTAAGGCCCCCCTCCTTCTACAATCCATTGACTTGCACCAAAGATGACTGATGGGCTTGGTACACGCGTATAGCATTGATTTCGAGGATACCTACGATGGCCTGGGCGATCAGCTCGACGACGACCAGGATGCCTTCAACGACGACACCTTCGGCGACGACCTCGGCGCTCCTCCTGTCGGAAAGGACTTCGATTTCTTTGGGAAGACCGCGCAGGTAGCCGATGCCATCGGCGAAGAGCAAATACGCTACAGTCTCCAGAAGCCCAGAGCCCCTGCTGCCGCCCCTGTCACTGCAGACATCATTGCCGATCCTGCTGTGAGTGCTGCCGCTGTGCAGCCGAAACGGACCGGTTATGAGAAGTACTCGGATCCCGGGTATATCCCGGACCTTCAGGCCAAGTCGAGCGTCTGGGGTGTTCAGAAGAAACCGGAACCCACGCCAATGATGATTGCACAGGCACAGGCACAAGCACAGGCACAGGCGCACGCTCAGGCTCAGGCTCAGGCTCAAGCGCAGGCCCAGGCCCAGGCCCAGGCCCAGGCACGGGCAAAGAAGATGCTCAGCTTGGAGGAGGTAGAGGCGCAGTTGCGGCGATACCCGTCGTCACTGCCTGGCCAGATACCGGTGTCTCTTCCTCAGTCGATGCCCGAGCCGTCTCACCCGCTTCAGCGAGCTCAGATGCCTCCGCTGCCCGAAGGCTTCGCACAGCTGCCACCTGAGCTTCTGCACGCTCAGTTTGCTAAGGGTGTGCCGCCTCCGGCGCAGCTGTTGCACCAGCCGCCGATGGTTCCCGACCCGTATCCGCTTGCTCCGCATGCTCCCAACATGCCAATGCACCTTCTGCAAAATGCCAATCTTCCCCCGCAGCACATGGGGCCGCCTCAACGTCAGATGATCCCACCTGGAGGTCCTCAAGCCCAGCAACAACAGCCTCCACCGCCTTCTCAAAGCATGCGGGCCAACAACGCCCAGCTGCCCGTGATCACCAATCCTCAACAGCTGATGCATCTGTCGGAAGAGCAACGAGTGGCATACTTGATGGAAGATGCGAAGCGCGCCAAGCGAAACCACAAGATCTTCCTCCTTTCCAAGGGCAATGGTCTGATGACTCCGCAAGACAAGAACTTCATTACCCGTATCCAGCTCCAGCAACTGGTGGCTGCCGCAGGTAATGTCGTGGACACGGATTCCGAAGCTGTCTTGGCAGAAGATTTCTACTATCAGGTCTACAGCCAGATCCGCGGTGCTCCTCGGCAACACCCTCATCAACCTCTCGGTCATTTTGCGCAGACGTATCTCCTCCAGACTGGTAACCGCCTCGGTGGTCACGGCAACCGGAGACAGTTCCAGAATGCCGACAACCACATGCAGAGAATGCAGCAGCAAGTTCAGCGGGCCGTCGAGGCTGCCAAGGCCAAGCCCAAGAACAAACAACTTATCATCGAAGGTAGCTTGGGCAAGATCTCTTTTGGCAATGCGAAGGCTCCGAAGCCCATGCTCAACCTCAAGCGGCCCGAGAGCTCCGAAGGTGGCAAGTTACCCAAGAAGCCTCAGACCGACCTGAGTCTGAGCGACCGGAAGTCTATCCTGACCAACATCGAGGGCGTCTACAGCACGCTGATGGAAATGGAAGATATGGAGCGCACCATGCCGCCTCCGCCAGACGAGAATGACCCCGAGGCCATTCAGAAGCATATGGAGTGGCGGCAAAATGTTCGCTCGCTCAACCAGAAACTGTGGCGCGAACTGAAGGTTATGGAGCCGATTGTCCCCAACACTAACACGCCTCACCCGTTCATCGCTTTCCTCTCTTACCCCAAGGGCAAGAAGGCCATCCCCCGTATCTTCCGTCACATTGACCAGGAACAACGCGTCACGATCCTTACCATGATCGTTGTGCACTTGGACACTTTGGACGTGGTCCGACGCGCACAGCTTATGCCCGGTGAGACTCAGCCGTCTCCGGTCGTCCGCGAAGCCATCGACCTCTTTTCTCAGACGGTCATGCCGAGCCTTCTCGGCTACGTCAATGAGGCTCCGTTCAATATCATCATTGGATTGTTGGGACTAGTGATTGCGCAGACCCATGTTCAGCTGGTGGCCAAGACCAGGATCGGACTAGGAATCCTAACCATGCTCCTGAGCCGCGCGGAAATTGTGAAGGAAGCCGACCAAGCGTCAGAGCGAGATTGGCAGCAGTGGGTTGAGAAATTCAACGTGCTATTCGATACACTGGAACCCACATTTGCCGATATCTTCCCCAGTTCCATCAATGCCGGTGACGATATGTACGTCTGGCAATTCTTGGCTGCCGTCGGTATCGGCGCCAGCCCCGATCAACAGCAACGCCTAGTCATTGCCGTGAAGTAAGTTGAAGCTTTTCTATGATCCATCGATTGGATGCTAACTACCTCTACAGGGATCGTGTAATGGAAACTGTTACGTACAGCAAGACGCTTCCTGCAGACATGGCCAGCCAGCGTCTCGGAAACGTTAATTTGTTTATGCGGGCCATCGGTCTGGACGTTGAACTTTTGGGTTAGAAAGCCAGAGAGGACATAGTGATCAGGCCTGATCTAAATGCTGGGTACTCCATGACCTTTGAAACCTTGTGTCGGTCAGGCCGGGCAGACTTGGGCCCATAGATGAGCGGGTTTGCCTCTAGACACATCGCAGTCTGCCATAAGCGGCATGCCGTTGTTCGTGCTGAAAGGGTTGAGCAGACGTGATCTACTGTTTAGTAGAACTGCACCCGGGGTATCTGAAACCCGAAGAACAAGAAAGAGACAGAGACAGAGAGGCAGCTGACAGGCAGGGTCGGTTGGTGCTCTCGGACGCAGCATTGGAGGGAGACAGGCCCAAACGAGCTGTCGACCAACCTTTGGCGGTGGTGAATGCGAGGTGCATTCTTCAATGATGTATTACCTACCAACTTTACGTACGTACTTTATTAGTTTTGTTCAGTGATGTCCTACAGCGAGATTTGGGGGACATGTTCGAAAGTCGTGTGGATAGCTTTTCTTCCATGTTCTATTTGATTATATTGTTATGCTTATGCAAGATCCACGATGGAAAAAGACATGATTGCACTATTGAATACTAAGTTATTACTGCTGCGGCTGCTACTAGTAGAGGAGGCCAAGCACTTCCCAGACACCACGCACTTCACGAACAGCTGTGGTTATCACCACAACTCCTATACAATATGTTCCTTACCCAAACACCAATATTCTTTATAAAGGTTACATAAGATAAAGTAAGTATATGGCCTCCTCGACCACTAAACAAGGTTTCAGCAGAAATCCAGCAACTTTCCCTTTCTGATGCTCTATCCAAGGTTATACTCCACGGGGTCAGTCCCACTCCATTTATTCACTAATGCACAATTTCACACACACTTACGAGGCATTCTTCCCTCTCCCCCTTGGTCTCCACCTCCCCAATTGCATCTGACCTGCCGCACACAATGGAGTCCCTCCCACCAGAGTTGTTCGATGCGATTGCAACGTGCCTGGCATACCTGGATCTATGTGCCCTGCGACTGACATACAAGGCTCTATATCGCGCCACCTTGCCCGTCTTTGCCTGCCGATATTTCCAGCGCATCCACAGTCTTGTCACGCCGGAGAGAATGGCCCCCCCCAGGTTCACTTCTCCCGCCTGATGAGGCTGCACCTGCACTGGGTCGAAGTCACCCAATCCGACCTTGCGCTTTCTCTGCGCAGTGCCGCCCCAAGTCTGCGCGTGGTGACCCTGGTGGCACTCAATCTCAAGGAGAATCTTCCCGACAGCTCCGAACGCTCCAGGGCCCCTCACGGCCATTTGGCGGAACTTCCGCAACATTCTTGAAACTACCATCCCCTCGATCCACGTCTTCGCCATGACGCGCATTGCCTGCCGTCGCCACCAACTCTGCTTCACCAAGTCTTGTCGGAAGGGTCGATCGGGCTCGTCCCACTCCATTGAATATTTGGATTGATACACTGAACCTCGACCCGGAGCCGCCTCTCGCGCGCGATCTCCCAGCCTCCAGTCATGGCAGCCACAGCCGCCACATACGAAGCACGCCTGTCACAAACCTGAGAAACGAATTGAACGAGGCGGCGGCGGCGACGACGTTCGAGCTTGGATCCCCATAAGAGGAAACTAGCCTTTTATCTGTAGCTTGAGATACTGCCCGAGGACGAAAGGGGCGGGTGGTTTTCTTCGCATCAGGTGTCCAGGAGTATAAGAGTATAGAAGGATGAGTCACGTGCCGATGTTATAAAAGCGGCGGCACCTGTATAGTCTTAGGCAAGTAGACAGGACTTGCAAGCAAAAGAGCGACTACTACAATAACTAATGCACAGCCGAACCAGCCCCCGGAGTCTAGTCCCAGGCGAGACTAGGCTAGACAAGCCGATATATTAGTTAGCACAGGCGAGCGTTGCAGTGGTGCCATCAATAGTAGGAATTAGGCCAGACAACCTCTTTCTTCCTTTCCTGACTGGCAGCAACTTGCAACCTCTAACCTACACACGGGGGGGGCGGGCAGAAGACCCTCGGAACTGAACTCGAGGAGCACAGCACAGATCCACTTTGCGCAGTGGAACCGCCGACCCGCTCGTGCTAATTGGGGTTCAGCCTGGACTGGAGAGGTCGGTTAAAGATGCATGGTTTTGGTGAGGTGCGCGAGTCGATAGATTACTATTTCCAAGGTGCTGGACCGTTGGAGTTTCCATGAATATGAAGGATTGGTCTTTTTTTGTGATTCATTTATTTCCCCCTGTCGTAAGCGAGTCGGACCGAGAACTGACTTACTGCTCTGCTCTGGCTTGGCTTTTCGGTCGGCTACGGCAGGGCAGGCATATGCATCGGGCCTGCAGCTTGCATGTGGCTGTGGCTGTTGGCTATCAGTCCATCCCTGTTCGTCTTTATGTTAGTTGTTGTCTGGCAAGTCGGCGACTGTCTCCCCACCTGAGACCGAGAGAATTGTCCCTGAAAAGTGTCATGATCGTGGTTTGATGGTTTGGGTAAATTAAACCGGTGGATTGGATCGTCCCGTTGACCACTCATTACGGGGAGGATTGTCTGGGAAGCACTGCAGTGATCATCAGCCAACGGGGCACAAACAATCCTTTGTGTTGATAGGAACAGGTAAGACTGTTGTACAGACTGAACGGAGGGTGTTGGACATACACAATGAGGATAGATGAGAGGGAGCAAGAAGTTGTAGATTACTCAACCGGTGCCATTCTATGCCGACAATTGACTTGGTGCAGCCGAGAGACGATGGATGGTCTGTTTGCGACCAGACAGACAAAACAGACAAATCGAGACCAGCCCGCGTCAGCCCCCGATAAGTACTAGTAAATTACCTCATCATACCCGGAAGTTACCACTACAAAACCGGGTTAACCGGGTTATGCCGGGCGGTGTAGACGGAGAAATAGGGAGTCTGACCATTCTGACCATACCGAAACGGTACCTGGTGCAGTGGTCCTCCTCCGGAAAGCCCCTCCACAGTCCACCCACTGCAGTCAGTGCCTGTGCCCCCCCCCCCCCCCCCCCCCCCCCCCTCCCCCCCCCACCATGTTTCCCATCCTCGAAAGCAGCCAACTCTTCCCTTCCCAGTCCAATCCAATGAGTCCACTCACTCCTCCTTAAATATCCCGTCTTACTGTCCTGTTCCTGTTCCTGTTTCTGTTCCCTTTCTTTTCTCCCCCCCAATCCCCTCCTCCCCTTCCTCACTCCAATTCTCTCTTTCCCCTCTCCGCCATCTAATCCAATCCTCCTTCATCATGTCTGCTGGTTCAGTTCTCGTCACTGGGTAAGTTCTACCATTGCACCCCAATCTCTTACAGCTGGAACTGACCCCGCAATCTCCAACCGCGCAGTGGCACGGGCTACATTGGCTCTTTCACCACCCTTGCCTTGTTGCAGGCTGGCTACAAGGTCGTTGTCGCTGACAACCTCTACAACTCCTCCGCCGAGGCTCTCAACCGCATTGAGTTGATCTGCGGCAAGAAGCCCGAGTTCGCCCAGCTCGATGTCACCGACGAGGCGGCTTTCGACAAGGTCTTCCAGGCCCACCCCGACATTGACAGCGTCATCCACTTCGCTGCTCTCAAGGTGCGTCTAACCCGTCTGCTTTGCCATTGCACCTGCAAGTACTATACTAAACATTTCCCCTGTGTTCAGGCTGTCGGAGAGTCCGGTGAGAAGCCTCTGGACTACTGGCACGTCAACGTCTACGGCACCATCTGCCTCCTCCGCTCCATGGTCCGCAACAATGTCACCAACATCGTCTTCTCCAGCTCCGCCACTGTCTACGGCGACGCCACTCGCTTCCCCAACATGATCCCCATCCCCGAGGACTGCCCTCTGGGTCCCACCAACCCCTACGGCAACACCAAGTTCGCCGTGGAGACCGCTATCACCGATCTGATCAACGCTCAGCGCAACAACGCCATCAAGGCCGGCAAGGAGGCCGAGGCCAACAAGTGGAACGGTGCCCTGCTCCGCTACTTCAACCCCGCCGGTGCTCACCCCAGTGGTATCATGGGCGAGGACCCCCAGGGTGTCCCCTACAACCTGCTCCCTCTTCTGGCCCAGGTCGCCACTGGCAAGCGTGAGAAGCTCCTCGTCTTCGGCGATGGTACGTTAAGATTCCCTCTCCTCTCCTCTCACCAGCGAACTAACACGATGCTAGACTACGCCTCCCACGACGGAACCGCCATCCGTGACTACATCCACATCCTCGACCTGGCCGACGGCCACCTGAAGGCCCTCAACTACCTCCGCGCCAACAACCCCGGTGTCCGTGCCTGGAACTTGGGTACCGGCAAGGGCAGCACGGTCTACGAGATGATCCGTGCCTTCTCCGCCGCGGTCGGCCGCGACCTCCCCTACGAGGTCGCCCCCCGCCGTGCCGGTGACGTCCTGAACCTCACCTCCAACCCTAGCCGGGCCATCCAGGAATTGGGCTGGAAGGCCGAGCACACCCTCGAGCAGGCCTGCGAGGATCTCTGGCTCTGGACCCGCAACAACCCTGAGGGATACCGGCAACAGCCCCCCGCCGAGCTCCTCGAGAAGCTCAAGAACTAAACTAAACTTGATCGTGAATGATACCTACCTTACCTACTGTTGATTTAATTAGCATGTCTTTGGCGACGGCGGAAGAACCAAAATCGCATCAATAGATTTGATCTGAATGAGACGAATTTCCTTTCTTAAAGATATGCCTGGTGTAATTGCACTTGCTTGTGTTTGCTGTGTTGTTGTCTCGCGAGTGGATGGATAGATGAGGTGTCATGAAATAAGTAATTGGATTACCCGACCCTTGAGGTGGATAGATGAGGTGTCTTGAAACAGTTACCTAAACTCCAGAACCATGCATGTATGCACTCCACTCTTAACCTCCCCCAAAATATCGCACCATATATACAGCCAGTCTATTTACCACTCTCGCCACTGCCATTGCCCTTCCGACTCCTCCTCGACCCAGGGGTCTGTGCCTTGGGCGCGGCAGCGGCCTTCTGCTCGGCCGCCTCCGCCAGTTCCGCCTCCTTCTTGGCCCGCGCCCGCAGCACGGCACTCTCCTTCTCCTTGACCTCGATCATCTTCTCACTGAACTCCCATAGCAGCTTGCCCGCGGCCTCGTCCCGGATCTCCCGCCGCGCCACATCCACCTCGCGACACTCCTTGATCATCCACCCGCCCTCGTCGCGGCCGTAGCGCGCCTCCATCGCCGCGTACAGGAAACTCTGCGCCCCCTGCTGCGGCGACTTGAGCACCAGCCACCACACCGGCCAGGTGACCAGGTACCCCAGCAGGCCCCACAGCGACCCGCCCGTCATCCAGCGCCGCATGCCGGGCGTGCGCGTGAACCCGGGGTCTACCATGATGACCCGCGCGGCCGGAGGGTGGCCGTCCGGCCGCTTGAAGGCGTTGAGATGTTTCTGAAACGAGTGCGCAAACACCATAAGGGCGAGTTTGCTCATCCCGAACAGACTTTCCGGCCTCTGCTTTTGTTTCTTGTTGTTGTTGGTGGTGGCTGTAGATGTCTTTTTCCCGTGACCACTCTTCCCGACCTTCTGCCCCGCCGCTGCTGACTTTTGCTGCTGCTGCTGCTGCTGCTGCAACACCTGGTGATTGATCACATCCTCGACCGTCCGCAAATCAAACGCGCCCGCCCGGATGTAACTCGACGAGCACCCCGCGAAGATGACGCGCACGTCGCGGTGCGCCGGCTGCGCGCGCAGCGCGGGGCTGAGGATACTCAGCAGATGGAAGTTGGCCAGGTAGTTGACCTGCCACTCCTCGTCGAGGCCGTCGTCCGTCAGGGTCTTTTGAGGGGGGTTCGTGCTGGCGCACAGGATGATCATGTCCAGCCGGCGCGGCGTGACGTTGTCGATCCATTTGGTGGCGAAGGTGCGGATCGAGTGTAGTGAGCCAAGGTCCACTTGCTCCGCGTAGATGAGTTGGTTGTTGGTCGTGCGCCGCAGGTCCTCGATGTATTCCACCAGGAACACGTCCGAGGGGCTGTGTTGCGTCAGCAGGATGATTTGCGCCCCGCGGGCGGCGAGGGATTGTGTGATTTGCGCGCCGATGCCGGATGTTCCTCCCTTTTTTTTGTTTAGTTTTTTTGGCTTTCTTTTTGGTAGAGAGGGGGGTATTGTTGGGGGAGGTTCGGAGAAACGGGGGGTAAAGGGAATCGTACCGTGATCATAACGACCTTGGAGTGCATCACCCGCTCCGAGGAATTGCGGGCGCCGCCAAAGTAAAATTTCAGGACGGCAATCACAAGAACCCAGGGGGTGAGCTTGAGGATCGTCCAGGCGATGGGGATGGAGGAGACACCCTCGGTGACACCCTGGACGATCAGGGGAATGGGCATTATGGTGGTGGAGGGACGACGACAGTGCAAAGCTTCAAACAACAGATAAGATTCGAGTCAAAGGGGAGACCACGACTAAGAAAAGGAGGGAGTTGACTTGGGGATTTGTAGTCGACAAAGATGACCCGAAATGAAGTCCAACAAATCTGGCCCGTCCGGCGGCCGCGCGGAGGAGGTTGCGGCTTAGCGGCCGATCTCCCGCCACTGCAGAGGTGCGTCACTTCTCCTGCCTTTTTCATCTACCTGTGGGTTTCTTCTCGACAACAACACCACCACCACAATGCCAGACAACAACCCCGCAGAAGAAGAAGAAGAAGATTACTTCCTCCCTTTAGAGGACCAACGCGTCTTCGGCGCCGGGATCCGCCGCAAGCGCGTCCCCTTCGTGCGCTCCTCCGACGGGCCCGACCTCAACACCACCGACGCCGCCCTCCACCGCCATGCCGCCGCGTCCACCGCACCTAGTACAACGACAGGCGCCACCATCGCGAACACATACCTCTCCATCGTCCTCGCGAAATCCGCTACGCCTATCCCGGAGGAGTCCACAGTAGATTTCCCAGCCATAGCTCCATCCACCACCACCACCACCACGAATACCCCCACCACCACCACTACAGCAGCAGCAGCAATTCCACAATCCCACTCCGCACCAACACCACCATCAACCACCACCACTCCCCCTGTCGAACACAACAACAACCCGAACCCGACATCTCAAATCTGCCAAATCTGCAGCCTCCCTTACACAGCAGCATCATCCTCATCAGAGACCCAAACCGTAACAGAAACCACCCCCCATCCCCACCCCCGCCCCCGCCCCCACGAAGCCTCCCTCGCGCACCAACTCTGCCTCACCCACTCGCACCCGCCCTCGCACCTGGACCGCACCCGCCCGGGCCTGCGCTACCTAGCCGCCTACGGCTGGGACCCGGACAGCAGGCTGGGGCTGGGGGCGCCGGGGCGGGAGGGGATCGTGGCGCCGGTGAAAGGGAAAGTGAAGGTTGATACGGTGGGGTTGGGGGTTGCAGGCCAAGCATCGGATGAGGAGGGGGACTACAAAAGACGGAGGCGCGGGGGCGGCAAGGATGCCGGGGGCACCAGGGGCAGTGGGAAAGTGCAGAAGTTGAATGCCAAGGAGGTGCGGAGGGGGCAGGTGGATGCCAGGAAGCGCGGGGAGAGGCTGCGCGAGCTGTTTTATCAGGATGAGAGGGTTTTGAGGTATCTTGGGGGTGGTTGAATTCATTTGGCGAGGGGAGGGGAGTTCTGGAATGTTTAGTGGCCTTGTTTCTGTGGCGTACGTTTAGATACCCTCCATTATTTATTGTCTATGAATTATTTTTCGTTGTCCGGGATGCGTGTACACTTTGCTTTGCTGATCTTGCTAAGATGGATTAGGGCCGGAGATAGCTCGAAACTAACAGACAATTGAACTTGGTATCACAGCTGCGCTAGATGAGATCAGGGTTGAGCTATGGAGTGGGCTACGGGGCAAGAGTGGCAGAACAGCCTATCGGAAAAAGTGGTGGCGTTTCTTCTCCTTCTTCTCCTTCTCCTTGTGCTCTTTGCCTGGCTTGGAGCTGGTAGGAACCGGAGCCGGACTCGGCCCGCCGCTGGGAGCCTTGTGTCCAAGTGACATCGAGGCCATTGCGGCCGAAGGCGGGGCAGCGGCGACGGGCTTCTTCGCCTGAGGTTGAGGTGGCGGGGGCGCTTCTTTCTCGAAGAGATGAGCAGGTGCCGTAGGTTTCGGCCGCTCGGCCGGGATGTCCAGCCGTCGTTTGTCGACGCTGAGGTCGCCGATCTGTCGCAGGAATAGCCCCGGCGAGAGCATATGGGACGTGGCCAGGTAGACATCCTTGGCATGTGCTTGCGAGATCTCGTAGCACGTACGCGCCTCGCCGTAGGTCGCGCCACCCGCCATGAAGACGATAATGCGCTGGCGAGGCTGCTCGCCGGTTGTGCGCGTTCGCGCCCACGTGGGCTTCGCACTCCGGAGAGATGCTTGCGACAAGGCATCTTGTGGGTTCGAGCCCTCGCCTTCCGTGTGTGGACGCGTGGGTGGGAAGACAGTCGTGTCAAGGGTGCCTCGCACCAGGTCCTCCAAGATCAGCTTGAGGTTCAAATCGTAACGAGTCAAACTTTCCTCTTCCATGTCGACTGCCGTTGGCGGCTTCCGAGTAAATAGCGGTTGTACAGGAGGCTTGTCATCTTTTAGGGGCTTCTCTACACGCACGCCAAGTAGGTCCAGATTGGATATGATTTCCCCGTCCTGCGGTGGAAGTTGCGCGTGTGCCATGAGCTTGCGGATGTCTCCGGCGAGCAGTCCGCCTCGGTAGATAATATAAAGTAGTAAAAGTCTCAGTCGTTCCGGCTGTCGAGTCGCTTCATCATCGAGGAGTTGAACAATCTGGGAGCCCAGATGCTTGGCCTTCTTGTAGTTCTCATCCATGCCGGTTGCCAGGCTTTGCTCGACAGAGCTGACCTCCAGAAGCTTGTGCTCCTGGAAGTATTTCATACACTCTTGTGCCATGTTCAAATGAAGTGTGTATGCATCGCGGCCCTGCTGAAACTCAGTCAAGCCTGCAAGCATATCCTTGATTGTGTTGACGTTCGCTTTGTTGTTGCTGGAGCTCATGTCAGTTTTAGGACATAGGATCGGAGGGGAGAACATTATGGGAGAAAAGCCTACTCTTCCGCAAATTGAGGGTTGGCTGCTCGAAACTTGGCGAAATCTTCGCCCAGCTTCCCCAGTACGTCCTTCATGTGCATGTGTCGGTACTCAACCCATACGTTGTCCTGCTCATTAATCTCCATTTCTTTGACTTCTTGATTGGCGCCGCCCTCATTGATGACGGTCTTGTACGTGACCTTGTCCCCATCGTTGATGGGCAGCAGATCATGCACCATGGACTGGTATGTAAACTCATGGAGCAGAGGCGCTACGACGTCCATCGAGCGGTCTACAACAAGGAGAACCCCGCGAGGGCGAGATGATGGGGGCGGAAAGTCCCGCTGAAATTGCGCGAATTGATCCAACTCGCTTTGAATGAAGCGGGCCAGGTGTGAGCATAAAACGCCGGCCTCGTGGGTAGGGGTCCTGGGCCGATAGTACCGGATGATCGGGTACTCTCCTAAGCTTGCACAGAGAGACACAATCTCCCACCGTTGTCAGCATGCAAAGCTGGTCCGTGGAGCTCAAGCTTTTGCCATACCTTCTGAGCCAGTCCTTCCAAGTGCGCACGGATCAAATGGTTGCAACCAGGGTGGAACAGAACTGGAAAGCTCCATGGATCCCGGAATGTCACGACGCGGGATTCGCGGGGGAAATAATCGGCATTCATGATCTGAACATTGGCGATATTATCATGCGCCATCTGCGACCGGTCTAGTCTAGCTCGTTGTTGCGGATCGAGGACTGCCCCGTACGTCAGCACCAACCATAGCACCCAAGGAATGCTGCGACCAACAGGACGTCCAAACCAGCCATGCTTTCTTGTATCTCTTCCGCTCAAAATCGGCCATCAAACAGTCGACAATATGCGGAAGGGGGGAAAGGATGTACAGCGCATCCATGGAGGCATTTGTTGGGCGCCGGTGCTCGATCTGTTCGACATCTTTGGAACCGGCCAGTTAGCGCCTACCGACATGTATAAATTCGGCATGAAGTTCCGCTTACTGGTCACGTTCAGGTTGAGGATATCGTCCTCGCTGACGGCATTGTCGATTAATTTCCGACTGGTCTCATCCACGACTAGGACCTTCCACTACAAGCGCCCCATGTCAGCGGTATGCGGATTGTGAGAGTGGTGAGGGGGCCGGAACTATCAAGAGGAGCAATGAGCGAGAGACCGTACCTCGTTCCCCGCCGCGTAACGAATGGTGTTCAGAATGACTGAAGGAAAGAAAGGGATAAATTAGTACGAAAAAATATTGCGCGCACGATAAAATAGCCAGGTGACTTACTGTCGCGCTGAATGTTGAGGATTGAGGCGCTCATTTTGGCTGACGGGCAGCCCTCCGCTGGGGCATAGACTTGTAACTTGTAACTCACAACACTGGGAAGAGGGGTGAGGAGTGAGGGGTGCTAAGGCAGTTTAGGGCAGCAGACCAGAGGAGGTTAAGCAAATGCAAGCCAGCAACCAAGCAAGGTAAGAGACAAGCAAGCGAGAGGGGCGCTGCGCGAAGATCAATCAGGGGGTGATGATGGTAATACTGAGTAACTGAGGTAAGTTATCTTTATGAAACGTAGCAGATGGTTTGAGACCCCTCGAGCTCCGAGTCCCGTCCGGTCCCCACCTTTTCCCTCTCTTTCCCTCTTCTCTCCTCCGCTGCCTAGTATGCTTTCCAAAGTTCCGCCGCAGGGGATTAACCTTGGGAAGGCGGTGTAGCCACTCGCTCCCGCCTCGGAAGTCTTCCAAGTTACTCTATCGCCGCCGCAGCTTGAGTAAAGGCAGAAAAAAAAAAAAAAACGTTATCGATGGCGAATTAATGACGGAGGGGATTTCTAAGAGGGAGCTTGCTGTGTTCTTCTATCTCTCTGCTAATATTCTTCACATTTGATCTCTTTTTCCCAGCCTTTCAACCCTGATAAGTGTGATAAGTGTGGTAATATCGTCCCGTCCCTGCGCCCTCACGCCTTGGACGATCCCGTTCAACAACCAGATTTGCCATTTGATTACGGAACGAAAGAACATACCACTCCACGATAGCATAGGCCTCAATCTCTCATTTCCGCGTCAGGCATGCGCCTATGGAGCAGCAAAGGCAGTCGATGCCTTTTGTGCACACTGCAGCCAATAGTCCGTCCTGCGAATCGGACCTTTGCAACTTCGCCAGTGCTGCTGAGAAAAGCTGTATGGCCAAGCACTTGTTCCTGAATTCTTTGGATTCAATGCTAATTCTTCTCCTCTCACTACCATCAGGGACAAAAAGATAGAGGCAATCGGGCCAAGCAAGAGCAAGGAAAGAATGCATCTCGTGCCAAGTCTCCTCCCAGAGATCGCCTAAGATCGACCGGACCTGATTTTGTGGCGGTCGTCAAGCAAAGTCTCGAAGGCTATCGCACCAAGCTCACGAGAGCGAAAGACTGGACATCCTTGGAGAGGTGGGATGCCTTTGAAAGACAGGTGCTGAATGCATGCAAACTAGACGATCGCAAAACTCCTGCAGCCGCGGGTGCCTTGCGCCGCCTCAAGAATGCCCTGCATGAGGCCTACAGCAATTATGGAGTCAGGGGACTGAGAGATGAGATAGAATTCCAGATGTACTCGGAAGATATCACGGCGGAATATGGGACACCGAACCAGGTCCGGCAGAAGATATTGGCTGACATGCGACGTCCGACGGAGTTGTTCCCGCAAGCACGCGCCATCCAGCGCACAATACACTTACACGTCGGTCCCACCAACTCGGGGAAAACGTACCATGCACTAAAACGCCTGCAAGCGTCCAAATCTGGCTTCTATGCTGGACCTTTGCGACTATTGGCCCAGGAAGTATACCAGCGCTTTACGACGGCCGGAATCCCCTGCAGCTTGATCACTGGTGATGAAGTTAAGATCCACGAAGGTGATGGTGATGAATCGGCAGCGATTGTTAGCAATACGGTGGAGATGTGTAGCATAGGACAGTCATATGAAGTCGGTGTCATCGATGAGATCCAAATGATCAGTGATACTCGGCGTGGGTGGGCTTGGACCCGTGCTTTCCTGGGTGCTCGCGTCCAAGAACTTCATCTCTGTGGTGAACTGCGAGCGGTTCCTTTGATTCGAGAGCTGGCAGCTCTAACTGGTGACAAACTCGAGATCCACCGCTACGAACGACTGAACGAATTGAAAGTTGCCAAGCAGAGTCTCGGAGGCAACTTAAACAATCTTCAGAAAGGAGACTGTGTTGTCTCCTTCTCGCGTCTTGGGATTCACGCTCTGAAAGCACAGATTGAAAGGACCACGGGGAAACGAGCAGCTATCGTCTATGGGAGTTTGCCGGCCGAAATTCGAACCCAGCAGGCTGCACTCTTCAACGATCCGGACAATGACTACGACTTTCTAGTTGCTAGCGACGCTATTGGCATGGGTCTCAATTTGTAAGTTGCTTTTGGTAATCGCCGACTTTCTCAGATACTAATATCGCGTCTTCTAGGAGCTGCAAACGTATCGTTTTTGAAACCGTGACCAAGCAGCTCCCGCAAGGGCTTGTGCGGCTCACTGTACCAGAGATCAAGCAGATCGGAGGACGAGCAGGTCGTTACAGGCCTGCTGTGCAGCACGGGAAAGTTTCTCAAAATGATAAAGAAGACAATGTCGGTTGGGTGACATCCCTCGAGGAAGTTGATCTACCTTACATCAAGCAGGCGATGGAGATAGAGCCCCCTCCCCTTGTTGCCGCGGGCTTGCAGGCTCCGGACTCTGTCTTCCAGAAGTTCTCGGCTCATTACCCGGCGAACACCCCCCTGGAATACTTGATCAAGCGCATTTTGTCGGTTGCACAAGTACATCCATTATTCTTTTTGTGTGATCCTCGCGCTCAGCTCGAAAACGCCGAGGTCATCGATGCCGTCGAAGGGCTGCGCATACCTGACCAACTGACTCTCATGGCCGCACCTATGTACGTCAAGGATGTC